AAAAAAAATTCATTTTATAAATATAACTTATATTATGAAACCTCATGCCTATAAAGATTAATTTTCAAAATTATACATATAATATGTTTCAAAATAAATTTTCTATCTTATTTACTAAAATTTAAAACATCATACTTGTTTAATTAATTAAGATAAAATTTAACTATTAAAATTAGAATAAGTATAGATTTATAATTACAAACTCATCAATGAGTATAAATAAAAATTATCACTTAGAAAAATAGGGTGGTTTTGACTCCACTTGGCTTCGACGAATAGAAACTTCAGTGCAAGTGTCACAAAGTTTGTAGGGTGTTTGGAGCATCTTCAATAGACATGTTAGACTCTTGCTCAGGTTGCAAAAGGCTTCCTCTTTAGCAGGTGCAAACTCGGCTTTGATGAACAGAAAATAATTAAAACGCTCGGCTTCAACAAACAAATATTGGAACTAATGATGCTCGACTTCGACGAATATTAGATGCATATTTGATACTCGATTTTGACGAATGTCAAAAGGGCTTCGAGAAAAGAGACGAGACGACTTTGCCTATGAGGTATAATTAGGGCAATTTATATTTAAGATTTTTTATTTCCCATGTTCTGTTTTTCCCTAAATTGTGTTGAGTTCGTGCCTGATGCGGTCTCTAGGCGTATTTTGGATGTATTTGGGCCTAAAAAAATATTCGCATATTTTGTAATGTCGGACAAAGTGTCTAGGCATGTTGGACAAGTGTCGGAGTCGGTGTCAGAAACACATCTAACACTAGCACGTCACATTTGAAGTAATGCCAATGCTTCATAGGTGTGAATTTCTAAGTTTGGTTCAACTTTGTCATACACGACCAAATATGAGCTCAATTAAAAATCAAGTGGATTAAACTTAAATTATTGGGGTTAGAACAAACCAATTGGAAATCAATCATTTCCAAATCAAGTCAACTCTCTTGACTTGAAATCAACTCAATATAGAAGACAAAATTTTAAAAGAAGATAAATGAGTAGAAAAATGAATTTCTTATAAACTTCCGCCTGACAACTTCCGCCTGACAACTAAATGTTGATTATCATTTAAACACCACAATACATCATTTCGTCTTTATAGATTATTATTCATGGCCTTTGAAGACATTAATATTGTTCAAAAAAATAAGAAAAAACCATAATTTGTAAAACCATGAAATGAAAACGTGAACGCTCTTTCCAACTGAACAATGATCACAAAACGCAACAATAAAAATTATTTTTTCCCTAAAATGGAAAATTTTAAAAATATTAAAATATAAGTGAAGATTGGCTCCAAAATAAGCAATGCAAACAAGTTAAAACTTCAAATATGAATCCAATCCTCCATTCACGGCCACAAATTTGGTGTATTTTTCGGGTGGGGTGGTATTCTGATGGATAAGTAGGGAAGAGAATCAATTATGAAAAACAAAACTAATAATTACATATGCTCTTAACAAAGGTACAGAATAGCAAAGCCAAGTCAATAACAAAGACAATCTGTCATCCTGAAGTCGAAGTTTGACTGGTAGGGACAAGCCAGGTTACTTCAAGTGTGATTGTCTTTGTGAATACTTCTTTGCCACTCATCCACTTAAGTATTGCCCGAATTGCTAATACTAGTTTAAATAAAAACCTTTTTGGAATAACTTTAACCTATATGGATGTTTGGAACCACTTTTTTTCATTTTTTTTGAAACAAAATATATTTGATTATTTGATTCAAACATGTTAGTTAAAAACATTCTAAACACCTGAAATTTAATTATAGTGTTTTTAAAAAACATATTGGTTTGCTTGAAAATTTAAAATATAAAAAACATGTAAAAAATATTCTAAACAAACATGCTCTAAAAACAAAAAACAAAATCGATCCCAACAAGCCCCCAAGTTATTCATTGGCAGGCTCCTTTCCAACTCCCATAATAAGTATAACTCAAAAAGGTGAAAATATCATGTAAAAATAAATTCACATCCGCCATCACTTAGAAGTAGAAGCATTCTAATTTTCAAGTAGCTGTTAGCAGCAAGCATAAAACCTTAACGTGTAAAAATTACTACAACACATCACAGAAACTGTAGAGTGTAGACTAGCAGTTACTGCACGTAAGATTACACAAAATAGACTCGAGTTAGTTTAGCATGCATGACAAAGCGCATGATACACTAAGATACGGAGATTGAACAACAAAGTAAGAAAAATGAAGGAAAAAAAAGGATAAACAACAAAGATATCAAGGCTCAAGGTAGTGAAAAACAACTTTCAAAAGCTAGTTTTTACCACAATGGAAGTAGCTAGAACAAGCTGAGGATGGAGATGATGTTTTTTCTTTGCATATGAACCACAGACTTCAAAAAGCATCATAACATTCTAATATTTTCAGAATGAAATAATAAAATAAACAATAAATTTTTTTAAGTTAATTCATTATTAGACATTTAAAAACTCATGCATTGAATGAATTGAACACTGAAATCAACAGAGACAAACAACAGGAAACTATTAAATATAATCAGCTAACAACCAGTCTACAACGTTTTGTAAAATCAATTACAAGATCATGTATGGGGCCATACACAGAAAAAACCTAGGTAAGCCAAGTTGAAGTCAAATTTGAACAATTAGGGTAGCATCTATAAATGCTCTATAATTGCATTGCTTACGCGCCTGAAAACTCGAGATTTTAACAGGGTCAAATACTGCCAAATCTGTGCAGGTTGTATCAAGCGGATCCCTGGTTTGAATTCTGACCATATGCCACACTACCTTTTCAATTATGTCTTAAAATCATGGGTCTGTGACAAAAGCCAAGGGTGGGCTTTGCCAAGTCAATTTCAAAAAACCCATTGGGATAATGGTATTTTGTATGAATGCGATTTATTACAGCATTGATGCACGCTTCCAATCATCCTCAGCATCTAGGGGAATTCCGTTGACACCAAAATTTTTCCAAAATTATCAATTTCTACATCCCAGGAAAGAACTAGTTATTACCAAATTTCTTATCTGCTCTTGCTGGTTACTATCAGCACTAGTAAATCTGTTATAGATCATCAAAAAATTCATTAGGATCAATATTCAGATCCACTCAAAAGAGGTGCAAACAAAAGAAAGGTAATCCCCCCAAACCCCAACCTCGTCTGCACCTATCAAGAGAATCATTTAGGATTAAGAGGAAACTTGCAAAACCTAACAATGACAAGCCTGAAGCAATGCTATCTAGCTTAGCAATACTTGATTAAAATTGTAAACAACAACAACAACAACAACAACGAAGCCTTAATCCCACTATGTGGGGTTAGCTACATGAATCCTTTTTCACCATTGAGTCCTATTTAGTGTCATATTTTCATTTAGTTCTAATAAATTAAGATCATTTTTTATACAATAAGCTCAAGTTTTCCTAGATCTACCTTTGTCTTTCTTAACATAACCCGTTGATTAAGATTGTAAACAAATGTAAAATTTGATTTGGTAGAAAGTTCTTGGTATTATTTGCAAAGGTAATAAAATAATACTGCAAAAGGTATATAGAAAGCTTTAAGAAAATATTCCATAATGAAAAATGGTGTCTTCCTTGTGAAAAAAATTTGATCTAAAAGAGCAATTCACATTCTATTGTTATCGCTTGCCAATGTTTAAGCTTTCTCATCTACCAACAAAGAAATAATTTAATATTGACAACCATAGAAAATGATGCATTTAATAGTTAACCAAGACAAAATCCATAGCAAAATTAGATGACACCAAACAATTTTATTTAAAAGGAAATAAAAGCAAATGGAAAAGCAACGGTATTTCCACCAACGGCTAGAGTCAAACAACCTTTAGAAGAGTAGGGGAACATCATCTCCCCTACTTGGACATTTCTAAAATAACAATGCCACCAATACAAGCGTTGATTTTAGCTACTGACAAAAAAAAAACGTCAAGAACATTAACTTGTTTCCACTCACAAAGGATAAATTTCTTTTTCTTCATGCTTGAAATTTTACCACCACTTTTCTAACATATAAATGATGCACGAAAGCTACAATTTTATCTTGAAACAGAGAGAATAAATTTTCAATAAAAAAAATTGCCACCAAGTCAAGAAGTAAACCTGTATAATTTCCATAAAGATGTCCGCATAAGAAAAACAGACAACTCATGGGAAATCGCACTACAGAGCATATTTACATCTAAAATTTTTCTCAAAAGAATAAAAATTTCATAGATCATTCCATCCTGTCAGTAAAACAATTGTGGAAAACAAATTTAAATATGATCAAACTTAGCCTAGAGTCATACCTTGTTGAAAAGAATATCTCGGCTGTTAATGTGCATAATACCATCCTTAAGTGTGCATTTCCACCTACTCTTTGTTCGTGTCACCTGTTCCAGTTTGCCATGAGCATATTTTTGCCAAAAATAGAACTAAATTTTCTTTTTTTCTAATTCTAGACAAAGAAGCAAGACCTTGTCAAACTGAGCTAAAACTAAATGTTGTGTGTTTGGTTCTTCCTCTCCCTGGTCAAAATCATCCAGATCATCATCATCATCATCATCTTCATTTAATGGAGGCTCGTCATCCTCTGCAGTTTCATTATTGGGTGGTTTTGGAGTACCAACTAATGGAGTAGGTGCTCGCAAATCTACTGACAAAAAAAATGCATCCAGATAAAATCCGAGCACTTCTAATTCAAAAAAAACACAAAATACAGCATATATAAACTAAGGCAACAAATATACCATGTTCTGCTGGTGTGGGAGTGTTGTAATCTTCATTTGTAACTCCTTGGAAATGGAACAACTTTAAAGGGTAAAAAAGGTCAGAGTCGGGGAAAAAGAGGGGAAAATATAAATAAAATGACCAAAAGATAAGAAATTACATCCTCATATTCATCATGAGCACCATCTTGTTGAGGAAGCACTGCAGTTTCCATTGTTAACACATTGGATTGAGTTTCAGATCTGATTCTTCTCGAAACTCCAGTGGATGAAAAGTGGCTTTCCTAAACTCGCAAGACAGTAATATTGGTAATCGGTAATTTTAATACTGAAAGTTGAGATGAAGACAGCAATAACTTAACATGCTTATATAACCCATCCAAAAGAACATCAAGAGCTGCAAAAATTAACTAGACATACTTACATGGCCCAAAGGAAACTAGAGTAGCATTCTAAGTTCATTGATGCGCTTTCTAAGCAGCTTTTAAGCAAGGAAAGTTTGGGTAAAGTTTTATTTGCTTATAACCACATAATACAAAGATCTGTCATTCCGCTGCTGCAGCTGTTGATGTCCAGAGGTCTATTAATTTGATTTACAAAAGTTTAAGGGCACAGAGTTGTCGAAAGAATTTAACCTGACAAGAACTACCCCCAAATGCATCTCTAAATACACTAATATACATATGATTAACCTGACAAGAACTACCCTCAAATCCATCTCTAAATACACTAATAACATATCTGAAAAGGCCAGATATATATAAGCTCATCTCTTTATGAATTTGTGATAGATGGGCGGCTATAATAATGAACTGCGCAGGGAAAGACAAAAATGCAGACAAAACGAAACAGTAAAAAGATAATTGAATTTTAAAATCTTGATATTAAGTTCGGGACAATCCAGTTGGCTACAAAGGGTTGTTAATAAGTGCAATGTTAATACTGAGCAACCTATCAACAAATATTTTGGTCAACAAGCTGAGTAACAACATAATGTATTAAAATTATCAAAGCCTAAGAAAATTTATTGACATCCATAAAAAAAAGAATGTTGAGAACATGTGTGAAAATGAAAAGGAATTAAATAAATATATGACATAGCTTAGTAAAATGAATGAAAAGATTTGTTTGTAGCAGTATTATTTACTTATGCCCAACTATTATATCTACAGCTTCATGTTCACTTTAAGACTATATATTAAAGCATGTATTAATTATTACTGCTATACTAAGTCAATTTTAAATGAAATTATACCAACATACATCTTATTTCTTTCTTATAGGTTTAGATCTTATTTTAGCATTGCTTATCTCATTGCTGCCATACTAAGTCAATTTTAAATGAAATTATTCGTACTAGTCTCAGACTAACATACATCTTATTTCTTTTTTATATTTTTAGATCTTATTTTAGCATTGCTTATCTCATCGAGTATGAGCTTACTGGATATTTCAAAAATAGTTTTCAAGAAGGAGAAAGCAATAGGTAAATATGTGGTCATCTATATAATTTTCTATTATACACTATTAGATGTTTAGAGAATACAATAATATCAAATGTAAAAAGTATTTTTGCATGCATATGATTTTATATTTAAAGTATTTTTAGAAGTTCGGTATTTTATTTGAGAATTATTTTATGCATGCTTTCACGTTCATATTTTTCAAGGATTATTGGAATAATTTAAATGTAAGAGTTTACCTAGAGATGACCCAGTAAAACTAATTCTCCATTTACTTGATCCTAATTAGTAAAAATCAAAATGAGTGTCGATGGAACTAAGAAAAATCATCCCCTAATACACCTCTTGTTGCCGTGGTGCTGTATAATGGGGTGTGGCAATAACTGCCTAATTTTTGCTTGAAACTTGTTCTCGGCTCAATAATAGAAACTACAGAGCCAAGCTTACACCTACTGTAACTTAACAGAAAAAGAAACTATTAAAGAACTTGAAAAATGACTAATATTAGCTCTCTAGCACAATAGGTGAGCAAAAAAACCAAGGAAATATTAAAATAAACATTCAATTTAACATTTCTGCATCAACCATTTTCATGCTCATTCAACTAATTCAATCTCTAAAATTGTTTGCACGGAGCCTTCATGGCAAGTCACATGATCACCATTTCCATTTTCACTGTCAATTTCATAATATATAATTCTAAAAATACAAGGGTTTAAGTTTCATAAAATGAAAATATAAACAAATAAACAATAGTACTGTTAGTTCTAACACAATGTTTAAATACAAATGAACAATCATATAAAAAACTCAACCCATTTAATAAATTGATGTCCCAACTTCTGTACATCAAAAACAATAAGCCTTTAGCACACAAAGTGGGGTCGGCTACATGAATCATTTTTCTCCAATGTATCCTATTGAGTGTCACATTTTCATTTAATTCTAATAAATTAATACCACTTTTTATACAACATGTCCAAGTTTTTCTAGATCCACCTCTACATTTTGTAACATAAGTCGAATCTAAAACAGATATCATCAGATGGTCGGCCTTTAATGTGACCAAAGATGACTCTCAAATCTTGTCTGCCATCGGAGCTACACCAACCCTTTCATGGATACATTCATTCCGCATTTTATCTCTAAGTGTAAAGCCGCTTGTTGAATCAAAGTATGCCTAGGAGACACACCTAAGGAATAGAGTGCGAGAGAGAATAAAAGCGTATAAAGAGTACAAGAATGAATAGTGAAATACTTAACTTTTATTAACGAAAGGAGCCCTTATTTATAAGAATGGAGGTTATAAGATTACATTTTGTACCATTATATGGTCGGGAGCCTGACATGGCGTCCCGTCAGCTTGTGATTTGGGCCGCTATGCGTCGAAGTCTGATATAGTGTCTAGCCGAGTCATTACCCAGGCGACTATAGCTGAAGAGTTGACTGGTAAGTGTAGGCTGCCTTCCTAAGATCCGGGTAGTACCGGTGACTCTTTGATAGGATAGTTGAGTTCCATCTGCCATGAGGTTATTTTTCTCCAAGACAGCAGAAGTCAGGCGGTAAATGCAGGCCCTCGAATTGCCCTTTGTGGGTCCCGAACCGCCACGCCATCTTCATTGTTGGTTGTTAGATTTCTCTGAGATTCGTGATAACATATTTTTTATGTACGCCACCCATCAACCTAAACATTTAGTTTTATGCTTCTCTTTTATAAGCCAACATTCTATGTCATAAACCAATGCATGTCTCACCACTTATAAAATTTTCCTTTTAAGTCTAAGTGGTACTTTTCTATCACACAAAAGGATAGAAACATTCCTTTACTTCACCCAACTAACTTAAATTCTAATAGTAACATCCCCATCTACATCTACATCACCATCACTTTAAACAGTTGACCGGCGATATCTAAAATGCTCACACCTTTTAATGATTCGATCACCATAGTTACAACTCTACCACTGGATCAACTACTAAAATTACATTTTATGTATTCGGTTCTAGATCTACTCAAATGAAGGCCTTTAGACTCTAATGTAGACCACCACAATTCATGTTTTTCCTGAAATATTTCCCCAGTCTTATCCACTCAAGGATATCATCAACAAAAAACACAAACTAAAGTACATCATTTTGTAAATGTCTAAGTAGAGCATTCAAAAATAAAGCAAAAAGCTATTGCTTTAAAGCAGACCCTTGACATAATCCAACTGAAATAGGAAAATACTTGGTCAACCTTTGTTCTGTTCGAACACAAGTAACAACTCTGGTATACATATCTTTGTACATAATCCAACTGAAATAGGAAAATACTTGGTCAACCTTTGTTCTGTTCGAACACAAGTAACAACTCTGGTATACATATCTTTGTTGACTTGAATATGAGTCATATCAACACCTTTCTTTTCTAAGATTCTCCAAAGAACTTCTCTTGGAAGCTTATCATAAAGTTTTTTTAAATCAATAAAAATCATATGTAGATCCTCCTTACTCTTTTTGTAGTTCTCAATCAAACCTCTCACATATTGCAAATTATAGTTTCTATAGTAGACTTGCCAAACATAAATAAAAACTGATTATGAAAATCTTTGTGTCATGTCTTAACCCAGATTCAATTACTCTCACATAATGTTATCGTACGACACGTTAAGTTAAGTGCTCTATAATTTGCACACTCTTGTGCATCCCCTTTATTATTAAAAATAGAGATGAAAATACTCTGTCTCCGCTCCTCAAACATCTTTTTATAATATTAAAAAGTTAAGGAAAAAAATTTCAAAATCTCTTAAATATATTCACACTTTTATTAATATACCATCATGTCCTACTGATTTTCCGCCTCTGATTTTCTTTAAAGTCTACTCAACTTCCTTTTTAATAATACGACGATAAAAATAAAAACTTTTATTATTATTAACGATAATAAGATCACCAAATTCAATCATATTTTCTAATATTTCATTAAAACTTCTATCAAAATATCTCACTCACCTATGTTGAGTATCTTTATCTAAAAAATAATTTTTATTTTTCTTATTTAATATATTATACTTAAATTAAATCTTTGTTTTTCTTTTCTCTTTCTTCGATTAGTTTATACATGTATCTTTCATACTCTTTAGTGTTTAATCTAATATAAAGAACACTAGACAAAAAATTCTTAGCATCACATATAATTCTCTTAGACTCCCTACAATCCACCTTATATTTTTCTCAAATTTTTAAGCTTTTATACTTAAACCATTTTTTATAATAAAACTTATTATATTTATTTTCTCTTGCACGTTATTATTTCAAGACTAACTATCATTATTTATTAAAAAAAATTATTTCTCAAAGAACATCTGTTATCATTTGTTTAATAGTGCATTTTATTTTATCCCATAAATAATTAGCTTCTTCATGAAAATGCTGAATCTTAAAGTAAACATATAAAAATACTTCTATTTGTTTTTAAGTAACCAATTATAAGACAATATTTTATTGAATTTTTTATCTTTCAACACTTCATCTTAAAATCCAAAACTAATAATCGATATTGAGTTCTTAAATCTTCACTTGGAATGACCTTTACAATCTTCACATCAACGATCTATTTTTCTAATAAGAAAATAATCATTTTTGTGTTTTATTAGATTTAATCTTATTAGTAATAATATGTTCATCTCTTTTCTTAAATAAAGTATTAACAATAATAAATCATAAGTTAAATTGTAATCCAATTTGGTTGTACCCTCTTTATTAATCACTCCAAAATCGTAACCACCATTATTATTTTTAAAATCTTCTAGCACTCTATCAATATGCCCATTTAAACC